TGTTAGATTTCATTTGTTATTAATAAAGACACTTAAATAAATAAACCTTCTGCTTACCTTTTCTATTGTTTATAACTCTAAACGTTTCGAACTGCGTGCAACAATATCTTCAAAATGTACAATTGAGAATTAGTATGAAATTCTACGTATTGGAATAGTTTGCGGATATTTTCTTTGGATTATTATACTTTTAATAGAAATTCTATTTAAGAGATAATACTAGACAAATGACAAATGGTGACTTACACAACGTCCAAATAAATGTAATGAAGAAACTACTAGTGATTTTATTCCTTTCGCCATATTTTATAACAAATCTTCGAATGATATTTTTGTTGTATAAATTTTACACTTTGAAAATTTTTTATGTAATGTATTAATCTATGATATCTTAGAATTCCATACAATTCATACGCGTTCAAATCTGAAGTAATTCAATGCATGATTTGATTATAAATATATGGAAAAAAAGTATAGCAATTTTATTAATCCCGTTATTAAAAAAAAATTATTTTCTACATAGACAAATTTCGATTTGCCGCAAGTATTTATATAATAATTCATATTATGGGAACAATAATTATTGAGTTACATTGCAAACGCCAAACCCTTTAATGTATACAATTTGTAATAAATTTTTGTGAATTATTGTTTATATTATTGATAAAAATAAAACATGGCGTGACAAACGGAAACCCTACGTAATCAACTATTTTTCAACTAAATAAAGTTCGACGAAATATTTGACTTATCGAATATTATATTTATAAGAAAGATTATATCGAGTATGTCGATCCAAGAAAATCACTATTTATAATTTTTGATAATTACGAACTTTATGAATATGAAATGTAAAATATTAATATTTAAAGCAGCTATTAAAGTGGCTAAAGAAAACTATTAAAAGAAATAAACAAATGACAAATAAATATTTGAAAACCGAATAATAGGATTGTAAGAAATTGGAACGTTAATATTCTAACTACATAAAAGGTTATTTCAATTCATAATATATTTCTTCAATTTTAAACTCCATGTTCCGACTTACCTTTTAGTCTGAAAATTGTTTAGTAGCTTGCAATTAGGACTTTAATTAATTAGTACAATTTTTAGGAAAACAAATCACTTTTATTAATATATTTAGGTTTAATTCTCAGTCAAAATCCTATAAAGCTTATCAAACTAAGAAAAATGTTTAATACATGATAAATATAAAATAGCAGGCATTAATATGGGTCGATTTTTTCGATTCTTTATGATTGGTTTTTAAATAGTATTAAATTTTATTATTTTAATAATTTTTTTAATTTCCTAATTTAAATTTCTCCTTAAGAAACGGAATTATTAGCTTTTGACAGTTTCTAAATTATATAATTGCGGCTGCAGCAATATGGTTTTCCATATGATATTCCAAATATACGTTACTTAATTAGAAAATACTTTAATTCATGTCATATAGTAATTAACGCAAGAAAATTTTATTAACTTTAGAAATTAGTTTATTCTAATGAATAATAATACTATTTTTAATCAATGGTAATGTAAATGTTGGGATAAAATACTATAAGTTTGGAAGAAGGAAACTTATGAAGGAGAATTAATAAAGTTATTTGAAATGTGGCACTTATTCTTTTAAAGTATTTGGCATAAAAGGTGTTATTTTTTTATTGGCTTTGATGAGTAAATATAATCATGAATTCTAGTTGATCATTGGCGTAGTCGGTCGGCATATTTACTATGTCTTCAGCTCAATGAACCAATTGAAGAAATGACAGATTATAACATTTTACTATTTTACAAACAAATCTTAACAGTTGATGCTTTTTTTAAAATAAAAATAATTTTTTTTATATTTATCACGACACGTGTGTAACATAAATTTACAAAATAAAAAAATATTTATTATATAAAGACAAAAATATAAATATATATTTTTTTTGAACGGATAGTCGAAAATATTTCCCTCTAGATGTCAAGACGTAATGAAAAATTCGACAATGGCAAATTAATAATCATTAATATTATCTAAATTATTTATTGCATAAAATATTTATATTTTACGAATAAACTACGTACTAAGACGTTTTAAAAATGAAATTTACATGGAATGGGTCTGCTTAAAGAAAGAATTTAGTCAAAAGTAAAATTCAGTCCATTGTACGGTGATTATTTACTTTGGTTAACGTCGTCACTTCGTTACGTTAAACAATATAAAACACACACCGTACAATATCCATAAATTATTCAATTTGCAGCAAAGAATTGTATGATATGATGACGTGTTAAAATAAAAATTTATTTTTTAACGATAAATGTAATAAAGGTTTACCGATAATCGGTAATTTCATCAAATATACTAACTACTTATCAGTTTGGGAAAGTGGATTCAATCAAATTATGGTGATATGGTTTGGTAACAAAAGGGTTATATGGATAGGTGGAACCCAATACCTTGAAAAATTTTAAAACCTTTCCTTAGTAATTAAATGCTCGTACAGCTTCAAATGAAGCGTTAGATAAGTTGGACATGAACTTAAAAGGTATAGGATAACAATCGAAATACTTCACAAGATCCATTTCTTTCCCACTTTTTCTTAGACTGAGTGTCAAATTTACTCAGTCTTTATTTTTGGAAATGGAAAATTATTGGGATGTTTTGAATCTGCGAAACATTGAAATCGATATGTCGGAATATGATAAGATTTTTCGCAGAGGCTATTTTCTTGATAACAACGAGTAAAAAATCATTTGTTTTAAGAAACCATTATTAATTTTGTGTTTTCCTAAGAATGATTCTGCTGATACAGAAAATCTAGTTAAACATGTCAGATCTATATTTAGATCGTTCGAGTTTTATTTTTCGATGTCTCCAAGTTTATGTATATTATACCGAGTTATCGCAAATATTCTAAAAGTTGTTAGAAAGTTTTGATTGGATGAGAAAATTTTATATTACCTACCTAATATCATTAAAGAACGTAGAGAAAAATCGAAAGGTTACCAATCGATGAAGAATTGGTTCCTGATATATTAACCATGATGTTAACATTTAACACAGAACGTGATAAATCTAAAGACATTTCTATCGACGAACCTTTTGAACCTATGAGCAATGTAAACATATGCGATAATCTTTCTGAAATTGTCGTTGGAGCAATTGATACCGTATGTGAACCCGTGCTCAAAGAAGGTTTTAAAAAAATTCTTTTACTCTCTTTTAAAAAAAATATTATCAATCATTACTAATTAGTAGTAATAAATATATATAAATATTTATGCGCTTCAAACATTGGCACCTTTTGTGTTCAGAATGGCGGAAAATTCTGATAAAATAATCGATCATATCAAAATTTCATAAGTGCTCAAGAAATTCATAAGAGTAAAATGTATTGGGAAAATCCAGAAAAATTTGATCCAGAAAGATTTATGCCATCCACAAGCAATGAAATCAAAATGAATTCTTTTCTTGCATTTGGAAGTGGGATGGGATGAAATTATGTCCGGGTAGAAATCTAGCGATGGCTGAATTAAAAACAAACATTGTTGGCTTTATTATTTAGCAGATATAATGTTGATTTGGCTGATTATTCTGCACCTTTGAAACTACATGCACTATAGCAAATCATTGTGAAGAAACCTTACTAGGATTAACAACTGATCAAAAAAAGATATTTCTATTTAATATGCTATGCTATATTAATTTTTATAATAACTAATTGTATATCCATGATAATTTTTATATTATGTATTACAGAAGTATACCGTATGTTAATTTTTTTATAATTTATAATTATACATTGTTATATTTTATTTGATTTATCCATCTCCACTATTTGTTTCCTCACTATCAATTTCTTTAAAGTATGAATACAATTAAATATTATTTTACTTTATTATTACCTTAAAATAGTTTCAAATATTGATGAAAAAATGGTTGGTTTCTTAAACATCCTGCTTTTTAGCCCATCATTCGGAGAATGGAGAATGCTGCACAAAATATTGTGATCTGGTGTATGAAATTCTTTCACATTTTCATTTTTAGCCAGGCTATGACATCATAAACCCTTTCAGTTGTAACTTTAGGAAATTGATGATGATTTTTATGGTTATATTAGTATTTATGTGTGCGAGCCAATTCGATCAATTCATAATTCGCCTTTTTGGCGGATATCCAGATATCCAATAACAGAACGGATGTTCGTTGTTCGGTCCGTTGACAAGGTTAAACGGCGACTTGATCAGGGACAATAATTGTTTGTGGTGATAAAAGGTAAAATCATGTATGATTAAAATGAATTTTTGTTGCGATTTGACCTTATTTTTATAAAATTGTGTGATTTTGTTTTGATATTTTTATAACATTTTGACATTTTGTGTAACTTTATATTTATTATTTTATTAAATAAAATAAAATCAAATTTCTCGAATAAATACAATCATGTTTAATTGTTTATAGATATTGTTAATAGTTCTTTGATGTTTATGGGTTATAAACGGAGTTTTAAGGTAAGCAGAAGGTATCGTGTTTATTGTTTTACTAATTTAATTAATAATAATTCTAATACAATACAACATACGTCGGCGCTTTATACAATCAGATATGTTTATTAATTATTTCTTTCGGAGTTATTTTAATAAAAAATAAAAGGGAAATAATGGATAACGATGTTTTTGTGTTTACTGAATTATCGGACTTTTCAAGGATTGAATGATTTGTTTATTATTGCGAATGTGAATTGTGTTAACTGTTGTAATTGTTAAGCTTTAAAGAAAAATTCCGCCATTTATATACATGAATTTTAACAGGACATTTTTGTCCAGGAAACTGATTTGGCCAAGTGGACTAATTTGCCGGAGAACAATTATGGTCAAAATGATCTTCATTGCGCTAATTTAATGATCGCATGTAATAAAATAATAATAATAATAAAATAATAATAAACGCTAGTAGATGCAAAATAAATATAATGAAAAAAATAAATAAAAAAAATAATTTTAATAAAATTATAATAAAAGAATAATAAAATAATAAATAATAAACACTATAATAACAAGACCTATCTTGAATATCCTGCATTGCCCATTTCTCCTTCTTCGTAATAATATATACATTATTAATGTAACAATATATTATGTCGATTACTGTCTAAAATAATATTATATAAAGAAAAGCTATGCTCGACAGCACAACTAGGTAATTTAATATAATCAATTGGAATTTGAGAAGCCCACCAATTTTCATCCAGAACTTAATATATCCAAGAAAAATTCATTATGTTATTGAAATTGCTAGTCTCTTAAAATAGCTTAACTAATTTTAATACTTCTTTAAATTTTTTTTTGGTTCAGAAGTTTGCTAAATTTATTGAAAGCTTTTGTATGCGAATAGTTACTGCTTGTCATCTAGGCATCATTTTTATTGTCAATTTCAATTAATTTCTATGATTTTACTGTTTACAATTTAGCGATATAAACATTAAAAAAAAATATAAAAGACCAAATTTTGTGATTTTATGCAGCATTTATGTAAATTAAACATTTATCACAAAATTTTGTGATTTGTATGATATTTTGCGGAATGTCATTAATCATCGTCCCCGGACTTGATACAGTGACTTCAATTAAACCTAACATTATAAATACAATACAAAACTATAACAAATTAAACACTTACTACTAAGTCTTTTACAATTATTAGATCCAATATATACAATCTTATGATATACAAATTAAAGAATTACAAGTCCTAATAGAAATACATAAATAATAAATTCAAAGAATCTAAATAATACATTTATGTTAATTATGATAAATATAGTAAAAAATATGAAAACTTTTATAAAGATGTTAAATAATATTTATATAAAGATGATAAGTAGTAAACAGATGACAAATAGAAAAAGACAAAGAAAAGAAAAGAAAAGAAAAGGACTTCTGTCAATCATATCCGATCCATCTAATCCAGTTAATATTATTATTACATTTATTTCATTAACGTATTTACTACCACAATTATATCTTAAATAGTTAATTTTGCTTATAATTTTATTTCTTTACTATATTAAATATCTACTTTTTATTAATGTATTTTATATAAATATTTTGTATTTTGTCTTGAGTTTACTACAAATCTCCAATACAAATAATATTTATTTATTTCTTAACTTAATCTTTATTAATTTATAATTTATTTCTATATTAATAAAGATAACCTGATCCTTCATTTAATTAATTATATTTATTTCTTTTATAGATTAACTTAACATATATTTCCTAATAGCAAATACAATCTGTTAATTTAATGATATACTATTTAAGTATTGTTATGTCTGATTTGTAACTCAAATAAAATTCACAAATATTAATAATGCTAAGACTAAACTCAGGAAATCACAACGAAGATTCATAGTAAATGACTCAATTACATATGAGTAACTTCTGGATATTTCTGAGATTACGTTTCAATGAATACATATTAAGTCAATATAATGAATCAATACAATACCACGCAAAGTTAAAGTTAATAAATAATAATAATATATATACAGGTTAAAGGGTTGCAAAGGATAAGTTTTAACTTAGTTAATTATAAGCTTTATTAATAATATAATAAATTGTAAGTTCTTTACCTCATAAGGTATCAAGACTTAATGGAAATATAGTGATATTTATACATGTTTGATAATTATAAAATAAACCAAACTAAATATATCTATGAAAATAAAATGACAGTCTAGAAAATAAAGTTGACAAAATTGATTAGCAAGGTTAATCATATTAATAAAGTTGCTCATTGCACTGAAAATAAAATTGACATCTGAATTTACAATATTTCATATTGATTATCTTAGGACATAAAGTTGACATCAAAATCGACAAGATAATAAATAAGTAAATTTAATTAACATTGGATTTGTAAGCAGATTTTAGCCAAAATTTTGCATTATTACATTTTCTCTTCCATGATTTGAACTTTGTCGAAGAATTTTTCTTTCTTCTTTTAATATATTTGGATAAAGCTGATTGAGTAATTCCAAATTCTTGAGTATACTCCTTTTGCATTTTCCTTTTCCTAATATGTTCTTTAGGAATTTCGCTTTTGACAAGTTCTACTTCAATGTTCTTTTGATAAACTTAATCTATTATGAGATTAATTCTTCAGAATTGGTTTTTTTCCAAAGGTCAAGTATAATTGAAAGAAGTTTAGCTTCATTTTTTTCGATTATATATCTTGCATTTTAAACTTTTTTAACATCAGATTTGTATTTATTAATAAACTGATTCATTTATTGGAAATTTTTAAAACTTATTTTTGTAAAATTTAAGGTTTTTTACAAAAAGGAATTTTAGGTTCTTTTATACTTTTGATAGTATTTATTCCAATAAATCACAGGATTCCAATTTTATTGATCATTGTAAATCTTCAATCAACTTGCATTGATTGATATTTTAAGTATTTGTCTATTTGTAGATCTTAACTTATAAGCTTCATTTAACAATTTGTTATGAATATAGAATGGTCCTTTCTATTTATTTTCTAGTTTTCCAATCTAAGTCTTTTCTTTTGCAGCTTTATATAATAGGACTTTGTCTCCTATTTGATATTTTATGGGTTTCTTTATTTTTGAATCATGTCATTTCTTTTGATTTTCCTGTGCTTTTGTAATATTTTTTTTGCTTTCTATCAATTTATTTCTAAATTTTCTAAATTTGATTCTAAAGTTTCATTTTCAAAAATGGTGATTGGAAGCCTTGCTTTTCTTTTATAAGTCAAATAAAATGATGAATACTTTGTAGTAGAATTTTTCACAGTCTGATAAGCAAATAATACTAAATTTATATTATAACAGTATTCACACTTACAAGTCTTTTGTTATTTTTGTTATAGATTCATACAAGGTTTTATTAAATCTCTCAACTAATTCATTAGTTTGAGAATGGTAAAACATAGATAATAAATGCTTGATTTCAAACTTATTCATTAATACGTCTTCTACTTTGTTTCAAAAATGTGATTCTCAGTCAAAAAGTATATATTTTGAACATCCATGTTGATATATTATATTTTTATAAAGTAATTCTACAACTGTGTTTGCATCAGTTGCAGGTTTTACATTCGCTTCAAGCTATTTGGTTAAATAATTAGTTGCTATAATTATATATTTATTTCTACTATTCGTAAGTGGTAAAAGTTTTATAAAATCTATTCCAATTTTTTCAAAAGATTTTCCAATTGGTATAGGATGTAATAATGTTTTCTTTGAGGCTTCCCTCTTCTTTGATAAGAGTCATATCCTTTAATATTGTTCCTAATATCTTCAAACATTTGTGACCAATAATAGTTTTCTCTAATTTTTTTGAAGACCTTCTTAATTCCTAAGTATTCTCCAGTTGGGTGATTATGTGTCGCATAAAAAACTGTTTCTTTTTACGAATTTTTAGAACTTTAAGAAAGTTTCCTTTTTTTTTGTTTTTCTTAAACAATTGATTTTCTAAAATAACAAAATGTTTTGATTGTCATTGAATCTAATTTGCTAGTTTTTTATCACTTGGTAATACTGAAATAATTAAATATTCCTTCAACTAATCATATTAATTTTCTTCCATTTAGTTTAACTTGATCTATCAATCACGTTATTGACACTTTCACTTTCACTTAATTAAAATTTTCAAATGTTGAGACTTTCACTCACTAATTGCTATTCAAAATAAGTATTAACTCTTTAAAATAAAAAAAAATAAAAAATAATTTTGAAATTGATTATTTAAAACTCTTTAAATGTTAAAAATAAAGATAATAAAACTAATAATCTGAAGTGTCAACTCTGCTAAGAGTTTTTCAAAATCAGATGAATAAATAAATAGAGATAATAATAGATGCGATAGATCCATATATTTCATCTAATTCATCCTCTGTCTATTTACGATTCTAAGAATTTTTAATAGGTTGTAACAATTCCATTACAGTTAAACAAGCATCATCTTTTCTTTGAACTTCTTCTGGTATATCCCAATAGATTTTATTGGTAAGCATTTCAGGTATCATATCAGGATATATCTGTCTAAGATTATATCTAATAATGCATTCATGATTTAGATTTATAATAGTAATTTTTCACATAGATTACAGTTGACTAAGTATTCTTAAGCAATTTTTTCAAGACAATTCCCATTCATATGTTAAATGATGGTTTGTCTGATCTTAGTAACATTTAGAAAAATATTATATATATCTTGTTTCCAATCTTTTTCTTTTCCATCAATGATAGTTATAGTTTCATCTTTGCTAGAGCTAAATTCTGATTCACTATACTGTTCTATATGTTGTTCATTTTCTGAGTTATTTTCATCAAAAGTTATATCCAAATATTCAGTATAAAGTTCTTCTTTATTACAATAAAATATAGAAAATATAGTATTATTTGTGGGTAAAAATATGTAATTTCCATATAAATTGGCATATTAGTAACATTCAGTATAATACCTATAAGAGTGATGATTATTCTTATTACAAGTATAGCTATTTTTATGATACTTTCTGTTATTATTCAATCCATTCTATTGCCATTTCATTTTGTATCCAGGAATATTCAAAGCAGAAAAATGCACTTGTATCTATTGATTATTTTCTTCCAAGTCTTCATCATATTCATATGATGAAATATTTCCTTGGATTTCTCTTTCTGTATCTGCAAAATTTTCTTTACTAGCAATTGAGAGTGTGAAGCATTCGATTATTTCATTTGAACTTTCATCATTTTCATAATTAATTCTCGATAATGCATCAGCATTTGCATTATTTTTCTCAGATTGATGCTGAACTTGAAATGTAATAAATTCAACAACCATTTTGCTCCTTTCGTTCTATTTTTTTACAGTAAAAGTTTGTAACCATTTTAAAGCAGTGTTGTCAGTTACTAATATAAAAGGTTTAAGTGAAGTGGTGATGAAATATTTGACTGCCTGAATAATCACCAGGCATTCTAACTTGTGTGCTATAATTTTGTTCATATTTATTCAAGGTTCTGCTTGTATAAGCGATTACTTTTTCTTTTCCTTAGTCATCTTTTTGTGTAAGTACTACTTCAAGTCCAATTCCAGAGGCATCAGTAAATAAGTAGAACATTTTATTGAAGTTCAGATATATAAGTATTAGGGCTTGCGTTAACTTTTCTTTTAAGATTTCAAAAGAATCTTTACATTTCTTACTCCAGTTATAGTCGACTCTTTTCTTTGTGAGATTGTTTAATGATTTCACAATCTTAGAGAAATCTTTAATAAATTTGCGATAGTATGATATTAATCCTAAAAATCCTTTAATTTGTTTCATATTTTATGAACAGAAAATTTTGTACTTTCACAAACTTCAGGGGTCAGGTTAGATTCCATGTTTGATTTTGTGTTAAATATTTCACATTTCTATTTATTCAATGCTAAATTCGCAGTTTCTAGTTTATTGAAGAGCATTTGTAAGTGTTCGCAATATTCTTCAAAACTGTTTGAGTATACAATAATATCATCAATGAATACTGTCACAAATCAGTCTATGTATTCTTTCAATACTTTATTCATAGTTTTCTAAAAGGTTGCATATACGTTGCATAATCTGAATAGCTTAATATTAAATTCATAATATCCTTCCTTAATAATAAATGCAATTTTCTCTCTATTTTTTCAATTTGCCAAAATCCACTTGCTAGATCAAATGTAAAAACTATTTTGATCTATTCAAACTTTTTAATATCTTATCAATTTTTGGTAGAAGGTATGCATTTTCTTTTGTGAGTTTGTTTAATCTTCTATAATCAATGCATAAATATTTTTTACCATTTGCCTTTTTCACAAGAATGGCTAAAAATGCCTAGAGGCTATCTGATTCTTGAATAATTCCCTCTTTCATCATCTTTTTAATTTTTTTATCAATAAAGTCTTGTTCATCTTTTGTAATTCGATAATAATTTCTTTTGATTGTGTCAGCATTTTTGGTATCAATTCAATGTTGAGTCACATTAATTCATCCAACTTTTATTGATTGCCTTGTTTCAGAAATATTAGTCACGAATTTATTCTCATTTTCTTTGATCAAATTATCAATTTCCTCTTGTTACTTCATAGTGAACTTTTAATTTTCAACTTCAGGTTGAATAATTTCTGCAACATTATACAGTAAGGTATCTCATAAAATTCTGTTCAGAATTTCATTTATAAAATTGGTATGAGTAGGAGTAATTTTCTCTTGTTTTACCATTTCCTCATATTTTAAGAAGTCAAAATGAATCTATAGTCCATTTTGTCTTTTTCGAGTTGTTCTAATTCTATATTTTTCGGTACTTTGTAATGTAAACGTTACAATTAAATTCAGGATCATTGAAAAAATATTCAAGATCTTTATCTTTGAAAGTTATTTCTGTTTCTTCTTCAGTTTTCTTAATTGCTGCTTTCATTAGGATTTCTCTCTTATCTACTCTCCCGTCAGGAATTTGCTATAATCTATTCATAATTTCTCCTTTTTTGATTGAGAGAAATATGTCATCTTGATTATACAAAACATTTAGAACATATTTAGGGTCTTTTACTTCTTCTTTTTGTAAGATTTCCTTTTCAAATTCTTCCATTTCATCTGCCCAAGATTGAGTAGAAATTTCACTTTCATTATCAAAATCATTCTGTTATTCTGAAGTTTCAATATAGAAACTTTTTCTTTCTTAAGCATTATTGTTAGTATCGTATTCTAATTCTTTATTAATCATTTGGTCGATTTCTTCATCAAATACAATAGTTTGTTGATATATTCACTAAAATAATTAAAATTTATTTAAAATTTATTATTTAAATTAAAAATAACTATTAATTTCATATCTCATTTAAAAATTCTTTACTTAAATTAGATGACCTATTAAAAAATTTAAGAGATATTTCTATTTTTTTACTTCTAATCCAATTTTTATCATTATATGAATAAGGTATAATATAACCATCTACTTTATATATAGTATTAAATCCTCCTTTATCAAGATATTTAATATTTACTAATTTATTATAAGAAATCCATTCTAATATTTGTTTTTTTATTTAAAGCATTCAGTTGAATATTTTGAATAAATTTATTAATAAATTTATTTCTACTAGTCCAATTAGAATAATAAAATAATTAGCGTTATTATAATAATTTATTATAATTTTATAATAAAGTAGATTACTTACTAAATTTAATAGATTTATTATATTTTATAATTTTATAAATTTAATATAATTTTTTTAAAAATTAAACTTATATTATATTAAAGTAAATTAAATACTGATAATACTGATAATCAATATAAATAACTTACCAACTAATAATAAAATATTTTAAATAAAAAATATAGTTAAGTTATAAATACTGATAATTAATAAAAATAACTTACAATATATTGTATTATTAATTATTAATAGTTTTTTAAATAAAAATTTAGTTGAGTTTAAATTACATTATAATATAAAGTATATAAAATAATTACTCTCTGTAATTTATAATAATTAATATTATTATTTAAAATAAAATAAAATATTAATTATTTTATTAAAATAAATAAAACTTACTATCTATAATATTTTAAATAAAATTAAATAATGTTTAAATTTTTATAAAGTATATAATAAATAATTAATAAAATAACTTACCAACTAAAAGGCAATTAAAAAATTTTAAAATAAATTAGATATGTAATTTTTAATATTAAAAGTTAAAAATTGTTAGAATTAACAAATAGATAAATATTCATTACCATTTAATTCTTTTAATGTATGTGCATCAGGAGCATCCGAAAATGGCTCTATTATAATGTATTTGTTTTCATAAAAAATTTGAAATTATTACTAGGATTATAATTATATCATTAACTATGAAACGGAAACTGTTATAAGTTCGGAACACATGAGTGAACATAAATTATTGATCTATTCAAATATCCAATGCGGCGAGACAAACAGTGATTAGGGTTTTATCACTAATTCTCTTAAACATATATTGTTCTACATGCGCCAAACAACTGGTATTAAAATAATATTATAAATTTTCTTACCATCTAATACTTCGAACACTGTGAATAAAAGTTAAGTATAATTTAATAGATTACAATATTTGATGAATAATTATTTGCTATCATATTTACCCTTATCGCTTGAAACTTTCAATAGTAAATAAAAATAACGAATTATATTTAATTTCATCATTAATGTTAGTTTACATTACAATTATTGATTTATTTACCTTTGTCACTTGAAGCTGTTTCTATGTTAAATTTGATAAAATTTATTTTTAGTAAATAAAATTAACGAATTATTATAACATTAAATATTACATGAAAATGAAAAAAGTTTAGATGAAATATTTTTAAGTTTTTCTATTATACTTTTTACCTTTATTACTATAAATTTGTAAAAAATAAAATTTTTGTTTAAAAAATAAATATAAATTTAAAATATCTTGTATAACGATAACAGTATAATGATACATATTGTCAAGATATGGAGATCTAAATTTCAATCAGATATTGCGGTAATATTATACAATCCGAGACTGATAATTTTCATGTCATACTTACATCGTTATTCAAATGACGTCTTTCACTGATCCGACGATCAACACTGCGGCTAAATCGTGCTGCGGTAAATGTAGTGAATAGCATACATACATTAGCATGCATAGCATAATTATAACATTTCGGAGTTTCTTATATTTCCTTATTTTATTTAGTTTATTTTATTTCTAGCATTTATAATTTATATATTTTTATATAATTTATTATTGCGAAAATGCGTAGTTTAAAATTTATTTACAAAAAGTATATAGTCCGACGTTGTAAAGTCTTTGTGATAGACTTTCAAATAATAAAAACTTATTTACACTTCAAACTTTCCTCGTGTCTCCATATAGGCTCCGCTTGTGATAACCAACCTACACAATTGAATCGTAATAAAGCATTATTGAAATATTTCAGAACAAAGAACTCTTAAATATCGTATTGCATTGCATGCATGCATCGTTCGATACCTTGGTTTCGGTACAATTCCAGGGTTATCAGCGGAAATGATAAAAGAGGTCACTATTCTATTTATAATAAAATGTTATTTATTTTACAGGATTTATTTATAATTATTGCTATTTTTTTTTTTTTTAACAATTTTACATTCCTTTAATTTCCCTTTTGGAAATTAATGAAATGGACTTTTGACTAAATAACTACCTATCCTCAGATATTGCGTAATTTCATCATTCATTTTAAAAGTTTCAAAGTTATTAATACCGAAACAGTTTTAGGTATGATAAAATTAATAATTTATGTGAGTGAATAATTATTTAATTTAAATTTATCTATTTATTAAGATTCTAAGTTAGCATTTAAGCTTATTTTGTAAGATCAATTTTTTGATTTCTTTGAAAATAAATAGGGTGATTTTTTTTTAAAGCTGCACATGTTTGAAATTAATTTTCACGACCTAGTACGACATGATAAAAAATGGCGAATCAGTGTTGTTTCTTCCAAATTTTGTTTGTATGACAATCCGTTTTAAAAAAAATGAAATGTTGCAATTTACTCAATAATCTTGAATATTTTTTTTTTTTTTTTGAAAAAATAAATTCTTTCCGAAAACATTCGATTTATGATGTCAAAGAATTATTATTCAATTTTTATTATATTATTGCTTTTGATTCAATTATTAATTGAAGTAAATTGCCAAACAGCTACACTTATTGATGATAAATTATATTTCTTGGACGGAAAAAATTTCGGCAATAATTTCTTTTACCTTGATGTGTCTATTCCATTTAATACTCAAAAGATAATATGGCAGTATTTAAAAAACCTTAATACAGTTCCTGCGCATTCTGCTGCTACGTCTGTCAAGGGTGGTGCAAATAATAAAACCTTGTTTTTATATGGAGGAATACCTATTAATAATGCAACAATGTCTTTAGTTTATACATTCAATACTCAAAAAAAATCATGGAGTATTCCAAAAATAACTGGAGATAATACCGTTAGAAAAGATAACTTAAAGGGCATCGCTGATAATAAGGGGTTAATGTATTTGTTCGGTGGACATTCTAATACCGAAGGAACTTATTTTAATGATATGCTCATTTTAGATACAGTAAATTTAAATTGGAAAATAGGAAATTCCGTTAATGCGCCGTCTCCAAGAAGCCTTTATGGAGCAGCTTTATTATCAAATCACTACATAATTTATTTAGGTGAGAAAAATAACCTTTGCTATGTTATTATAAATTTCGATTCATATTTATTTATAAATATTTATTATTAAGGTGGTCTAAGTGATGAGAAAACTATAGTATCATTAAAAGAGGTGAATTTAAATTAATCAATTCGTTGAATAAATTCCAAGAGAGTTTACATTTCGTTTAAATAAATTCTAGGTCTACTTATATAATACGATCAATGATAGCTGGAATACTAAAGTAGGCTTATCAAATTTAACATGATAATTTCTTACTAATAACGCGTTTTAATTTAATTAATTTTCATTAATTGAACAAGGTAACATTGGGTAAAGCTCCATCTAATAGAAGTTCTTTTTCTGCTGTTCTTGGTAAGTATTCTATTATAAACATGTTATTAAAATGTTTAAAATATCATTTAATCACAGTTACTTCTATACCAGGATTAAATGGGCAGCAAATAATAATTTTTGGAGGTTACGTTGAATCACAAGATTCACTTTATGTCTTAGACCTATTAAATTTTGTTTGGTATATTCCAAAAATTTCTGGGAAAATTCCAAGTTCCAGACATTGGCATCAAGCAAATGTTATTAGAAAATATATGGTTATATCATTTGGTAAATATATTATTGACTGCTATTATAAATTATTTTGCAATTAAATAAAAATTCATTTATTAGGAGCTGGATATGATCCAGCAATTGACGATGATATCTTGTTACTTGATATTAGTAATGATCAAGAATATGTGTGGACGAATATATATGATCCACCAACATCTTCGAAATCTTCATCAGTCACATTACCAATATCAGCTATAGTTGGTATTGTTATAGGATCTTTGATCGGTGGTATGTTACTATCATTTGGAGGATTCTTTTTATTTATATGGAATAAAAATATGAAGGAATCTATAAATACAATACCAAAACCTGGATGTGAAGATGCTCATGGTCAAGAATATATACCAGAGTAAGCAAAATTATGGGGAGAATAAATGATTATTATGTTCAAATTACATTACCGACCATCGGCACAATATATTGACTTTGAATAATTTAAAAATGATATGGTATCAAAAATGGTTAATTGGCTCTTTTTTTTCTTAAATAGTTAATATCTGAAAGAAATATTAATTAATATGATAAAAATAATTTGATTTATTATTAATTTTTTGAAAGATCGAATATACATATGATAGATAAATGCCCAACATACAAGACCAGCTGACTCACCTGATATTGTATCGTATCGTTATGATGAGATATAATGCTTATGTATATGTACATAAAATATTTGTTAAATTATACGATTTCACAATGTCCCGTGATTCGATTTTTGAACTGCAACGTTCTTATTTAAAATGCGAATTCTCGAAGTATGATAGCATTTGATTACTTAAATATGGAAATTATTCTACAATCCATATATTAAATATTATCATCACATAATTCAATAAAATTGGATGGATATGGTCCCGTTTTCTCTTATTAATAATTTTCATGTGTCGTCATAGCACGTAATTTTGAGACAAATTCTTATGACGCGATTTTGCGAAAAAAATTTAAATTTTTCAAAAACGATCTTTATAACTAAACACCCTATAATGATATTTTGTAAGTACTTAATTTAAACCACTAGCTTTCTTTCGATATATTATTAATTCCATAAAATATATATAATAAATATTTTAAATAAATTAATGTAAACAAATGAATTCAATGAATTCATCCCAAAAACTTCAATTATTTAATAAAAAGATAATAAATCATAATGGAAACGTTTATATTAATTAAATGAGAAAAGATAAGCTTATTTTATTTTAGTAATATTGTGAAATTATGGGCTTATTTACAATAAATTTACTAATTTGTTTGTTTGTTTATGTGTATTTGATTTGGGACATTACGAAAGGTTAATTCGATTATTTATATAATTCCTCTTGTCTTTTCAAGGAAAGTGGCTAAAACTAATAGTTGATGGCGGAATAGAAAAAGTACGAAATAGTGTTATCTCTTTATAAAACAGTCACGGGATTTTGAGGTAAAATAAATTGCTGATATTTTTGAATATTAGGTAATTTTTTGAAGTAATTTTTAAAATTATAATACTTCCATTTAAATTTTCCTTTGTATTCTGAAATTGCATGCCAAATCAAGCTCATTGTACAATTCACTTTCTCTTGTTTACCATTATCACATAGTTAGTCTGCTCCGCGTGTGGAAAGTTTCCAGTATTACAAACTCGAAAAAATGCACCTTTCAACTTTGAAAAATATCATATTGCCTAGTCACATGTAGTATGAGCCTATCTTCAAAAGATTTAAATAATATTAAAAGATACAATATAATATAATAAACTCATTCTTATTTGTACGATTAAATAAGCCAAATATTTCTATGTAACCGCTGGATACCGAATATCTAATTTTATTATTTCATATTTTTCACATCCAATCAGACTTCGGAGACTTAAATTGATTCAGCTAAACACATTTATCTTCCCCATACCGATGTATAACTATAACTTATTGAAGAAAAAATACATGATATAAAAATTTTATCAAACTTTAGTCCAGGTGAGAATAAACCATGTATTTAAGAATAATTTTTTAAAACCTTATAAATTTCACGTTACATTGTAATTTACTTCAACAACTTCAACACGTCACTTTTCAGATTTTTTTTTTAAAGCTCTGCCTGTATTACTATGTAAATATTGTTCAAGACCATTTTCTTTAATTGGCGTTAAATACCGTTAAATTTCAAACATATTTTCTAGTTTGTATTGAATAACTTTCAATTAGTTTATTTATTAAATTAGTCAATGTTAGCAAATTTTCACCTTTAACAATGTTGATATCGAATTATATCCCATTGGTATTATATACTGAATATGGGAGCTTTGCTGATAAATATTTTTCTGAGGATAAATTATAAAAATCTAATATTTTTAAATAAAATTTCATTTTTTAATTTTATTTTTTATAAAATTTATTAAAAATTAAAATTTAGCTTTTAAAAAATAAATTTCATTTATTAAAATAAAAAAATTTATCGCCTTCGGGGCCTATCTACTCGATCGCCTGCAGCGGTCTATTCTTTCATATGATCCCAGGAGCGGGAGCGAGGTCATTATCACTCCCTTTTTGTTTAGTACTGATATCGATGATGATCATATTTCGATGACGGTTTGTGTCTAAAAATAATAAATAAAATTAAAAATTGAAGTTTTAAAAAAGTAAAAAATACATTACTTATTTTTTTATTAATTACCATTACGCAGCCAAAATTCATCACTCCAATCTGCATGAAATAATCAAGTCTAGATAATCTGTTATCTGTTGGTTGAGAGGTTTGCCGCAACTCCAACCGCTTAAGATTTTTGCACTCGTATTTCAACGAGTACCATTTGTACTTGGAAATCCAAAGATGAACATATTAGTTGGTGACGAATGTTGGAGTTTTCTTGTTGTTGCCTCCTTAATCGTGGCAGCTTGTTATTTATTATATAATAATATGTTGTTTTATAGATTGTATATTTAAAATAAGTATTATGTTGGACTCGTAGGTTTGATTGTGAATAATAAAAAAAAGGAATTTGATTCGACGGATATTTGTCATAAGAACATCATTATTTGTCCAAAAAGATGTCTTTCGGTTCCTGGATACTGCGAGAATATTTATATATTCAAACAACCTTGCTTAAAGTCGAGCGTATCTTCACTCAAATCCATTTTTTTTATTTTTCATCTCTAAAATATACCTGTAAAAATCGGGCGAAATATTAAGAAGTTATCATTATTTAAGTAAACAAAATAAGAGAAATGAATTTCTATCAACAAATTTTTAAAAAATATATTCGTGTGTACTAGTAAAACTTACCATGATGCTTGAAGATAATATGGGAAGAAAAGGGGAAATCCAAAATTTTTGTTAATTTTTATTCTTAAGCTAAATTTGTGAACATGAGATCAGCCAAGTCCAATAATATAAATTTTGACCAGTATTTGGATTTCATTATTTACAACCTCCCATATCGATACGTAATAAATCGGTCCATATGTTGTTTATCATCATATCTGCACGTAAACTCTCTTATTTTATTATCAATAAGATAATTGAGTTGAAGTAAATATTATTATGTATTTACAACATGAATAAATTAAAAATTGTTTTGATATTTTGAAAAGTTTCTCGATAATTTTTTATAAAGTCCAGATATTTTAACATATTATTGCGAGCAACGGAAGAAATGAATTTATTGGGTATATATAAGAAAATGATGTATAATGTTATAATAATAGTATTAAAGGACGAAATAAGATGATAATTGTGAAGAAACATTAATTTCCTATTGCTTGCCTCATTTAATGCACCGTAATTAATTGCTAAAATATTCTTTCAATGAAGGTTTACAAAAGCTTCAATCATTATTATCTGGGGAGATTTATGTATTGACGAACTACATATAATTAAATAATAAATCATAAATTGATTGCGACACAGGTAACTTTTATTGAAAGATAAATTTTGGTTATAAGGAAATTGACCCAAGCAAAAATTAGCTGAACAATATACTCTTGATTCTTTTAATATTAATGAAAACGATCGAAGAACGAAGTTGTTACTATATAACTTTCATTAATTAGTTATGACGCCGTATCATATTAAGAAAAATAATTAAAAGAACTTTAAAAATTCTCGTTTATTATAAAATGTGTACCTCTTAATTTCGTCAAGATGAATCAATTTACTTTACGATACCTTGGATGCTTATAGAGAAAATTAATTAGCAAATTTAAGAAAATATAAAGATCAGGGCAGGGATTTAATGCAAGAATGCCAACTATAATTGCTTCATTCGGCAATTCGGCACACGGTAATAGCTTAAGGAGAAGAAAACAATTTTTTATTGAAGCATAAATAGAACGAATCCATTTACAGAAAATTAATTACTCATGGTAGTTCGATCCGATCAATAAGGTTAAATATATCAGAAATGTCAGGAAAGTAGCCGGTAACAATACAAATTCCCTTTTAAGGTACAGCAAGCAAAAAGTGATTTGTTGTCGCCGTCCATCATTTACTATATTTCATAGTAGCATCAATCTCGATACAAGTATTTGAGAACCAAGATCCTACATCGTTGACAGGGTAACTATTCCTAAAATGCTATACAACGAAACGAACTAAGTATTGAAGTATAAAATTTAGTATAATTAGTCCTATATAAAGAAACGAAAAAGTCAATAATGCTTCACTAATTCTTTTATTTAATGATCTTTATGCAAACAATATACTGATAAAATATTAGCTTATCACGTTTATTTTTAAGAGATTGTTTAAATTCTTGGTAGTTCCGGAATGATCCTAACGCAAATCATTAGTTGCCGTTCGAAAAGACTTATAAGGTCCTCGTTGGTCTTGGAAGTTTATCACAAGAGTTATGAAATAAATTTGAAATAAAAAAATCGCGTATACGAATATTTATTATTGTCAAAATTCAAATGTAACCGACCTTTTGCGTACCTTATAACCTTCGAAATTTCGTAATTTGGTAGCGAATTAAAAGAATACTCACATATTATCAGTTATTGTTGCGTTATTATGTTAATATCCGTTTACTTTTTACGTTAAAAAAGTCATTCGATAAATAAATATAAGTTTAATTATATACAAGTCGATTAATTGAAATGCAAGATAAACGCCACCAAAGTATCTCGGCCTATAATACATGTTCTTAAATGTTTGATTAATCTAGATTACTAATATGCACAATATTAAAAGATTTTTATGTTTTATAACAAAACATTTGAATCAAGTTTTAAACATGTGCATTGGAAAGCGTGGCGTGGAGAGATAACGAAAAAAATAATAAGTTTATTTTGCGATTAGAACAATTTTTTTTTAATATTGAAGTATAGAACAGTTAGAAATCCTTATAAAACAATTCACGTACATATTTATTAAAGTCATTTTTTTAAAAACTAAATCAAATAAATTTGTTTTACAAGATGTGGCCATCACGAGGCGGTTTATTTTGATGCTATCCTTTTTTTCAACATTAAGTTTATACACTAGATTTTTATTGCAATTAAATTTTGTTTCTTTACTTGTTAACTATTTAAATGACTTGATATAAAAAATGAAATCTTCAACTACAGATTCTTGGAACTCAATTATTTTATGCAGAATTACTATTAATTTTCAATCCTTTGTTATTTTGCTTATTAGTATATATATCTATCGCTTTTATGTAATAAATTTTACATGAAAATTGGTTTAAAATCGTTATAATTAAAGCAGGTTTGGAAAGTACAATGTTAGTAAAATGATTAGTACAGTTAATATAATTAGTACATTATATAAAAATTAGTACAAGCACAGTGTTAATTTTATCTAGTACATACAAAATTCCCAATCCTGATTAAAGATTTTTTATATTAAATCGATCTTTTACTTCCGACTTTCCTACCAAGGTAACGGTAAATATCGACCGAATAAAATATTGTTTAATAACTCAAATATTCTTTCCTTTTTTACTCGGTAGAAATAATATTATTAACTTGAACATCAGATTACAGAAGCTGTCCTACTTCTGAGCTTATACTAAAAAGCATAGATTTGAAATTTATTCCGCTCGAAACTCATCAAAAAGTATAAAGGTTTCCGGTAAAATTTTTTTAATATTAATGACTCCGTATTCTACAGTTGTCTAAAAGAAATATAGTACATAAATTCTTACTTTATACTCTTTTTGAATGGCGCGTCATAATTACCTTTTTTATAAAAATAATTATTTTTTGCTCGCATTTTGTTGTAACTCGTCAAAATTTCACCTGATTCACGTGTTTATCATTTTATTATTAATTTTTTGTCAATGGATTACCGGCCGTAACTTATGAAAACAGCTGTAAGTAACATCTCTAAAAATGAGTTATTCAAATCTTGTGATCAAACATGAGCATAAATCGGTGGACAATCATCAGACAAATTAAAATAAAAATTTTGTGACCGCGCAAAAAATAAAAGCAATCTCTAAATCATAAATTGCATGCAATACTGTAATTAAAGAACGAGCTTATGCTTTAAACGTGTTGTGAAGATTATTGAAGATTACGTGTTCCAATTTTTGGGTCAATTCGTTCAGATTTTTATGACTGGTTTATTAACCGGTCAAACGCATTTAACTGGATTATACTTTTAGATGTGATAATAATCTCTTTGTGAAACCAATTATTTCTCACAATAATGTTTTTTGGGGGAACTGATGGTATTACATAAATCGAGTTTTAGATTTATAATGTCACCCTCGGGTTTTGACTGCACCAAAATTGAATCACCGGCTATGACGATCAATATATGTCGGATCAAACCTTTAATATGTTTATTGGGGAAACGTTGTGTTTTGTGATGGTTTATGCAATATTAGTTTGGGAATATCATAATCTCAAAAGAAACAACCCTTTGTTTCCCGATGGTATCATTGAAGAAGATGATGATGAATTCCATGGTGCTTCTGAAGAATTGACCAGATGGCGTGTATATTGGCTTTGGGTGCCTACGTTATGCGATATTTGTGGTACCACGGTACGTGTTTTAAAGTTTTGTATCGATCAATTCATTTTGTTAAACAAACATCGAAAATGATTTCATGAATTTTAACTGCATCTGTATATCAAATGCTTCGTGGTGCAATTATATTATTCACTGGAGCTTTATCTGTATTATTTCTAGGTTGACGTCTCTATGCATATCATTGGTTTTCTCTTATTCTTGTGGTTTTGGGCGTTTCGATCGTTGGCATGTGTGGTATTGTAAACCCTTCTGTAAATGAATTGGTGCATTTACCACTGGTTCTACTACAGAAGCTATCATCGGATTCTTCCTTGTTCTATTTGCTCAGACCTTTACGGCAAGTCAGCTTGTTATTGAAGAGAAAATTATGTCAAAATATCGTGTTGAAACTTTACGTGCAGTTGGACTTGAAGAAATATTCAGACTTTTAACGGTTGTGGTTAGATCTATTATATTATCATCCTGATGGGTATTTTGATATTCCAGCTGGATGGAACCAGATCATTTCTTTTAAACAAATTTGGATTACAGGAATTTCGGTTTGCATCTTCATTGCGTTCTACAATTTCTTTGGTTTATCACTCACTAGAAGATTAAGTGCCACCATTGACACTACTCGTAATGTGCTAATCTGGATGATTTCACTTTATTTTGGTTGGGAACACTTCTCGTGGCTTCAAGTCATTTGATTATTGATAATTAAGCTGGTAATTATAACTTTGTTCATAATATTACTTTATTTATTTATTTTAAAATTTGGGATTCATTATTCTTGTGTTGGGAACATTCATATTCAATAATTTCATCAGTCCTCCATCCTGTTTTATTTGTACCTCCACAAAATAACCCAGAAGCTCAACCTTTATTGCCTGAAGATCATGAGCATTTCTAACGGATTACTATAGAAAATGTTTCGAGAGATTTTACTGCGCCTCTTAGGCAATATCGTAATCGTTATTTCATCTTTTTGTCTTTTGTTTCCTTTTAGTTCTTACCTTTTTTGTGTCCTCTTTTTATAATTATAAATAAATTAATAAATTAAGATTCCTTTTAGGATTCATTTTTGTCGCTGACGCAACTGGACTCATAATTACATTAATAATTTTACTCTTTTAAATTATTCTTTTGATAAACGACTTTATTAATAGTTTAAATCTTCATCATTAAACATGCGAATTAAATGCTTTTGACATGGACATATATGCGGTTTATAACATCACTAATTTCCAAGGTGACCGGTAACCATTATTGAACATATGACCAATAAATGTCTATTGATGGACCCTCCGCAAGTTGGACGTCATGTTATGTGCATCTAAAACTGTTATTTAACATCCATTTTTCGGTTAGTATAAACGTTCATTTGTATGAATTCATAATGCATGTACAAGTAAAATAATTGAGAAATATGATATATTATTAATTTTTAAATTTTTAATAATAAGTAATAAGTAGCAACATGAAAATAAATCTTATATTGAATTCCTAATCTGAATCTTCCACATTTTCGTTTAATTCATCCTGAAATTAAAAAACACAGTTAACATAATGTTAGGTTAGTTCACAATTCACAAGTAAGTGACACTCACTAAATAAATCATCATCTTTGGTGTCACTATTCTTTCGTTCCTCTCTACTGTACCACTATGAGGATCCAAGAATAAAGAACAACCATGATATATGCTGTTGAATTATTTGAGGGGCGATCCATTAGGAAATACTTTTCCATTATGGCTTCCATATAAGTTTTAGAATATTCGCTAGGATCTTGAGAATCAATTGGCTCATCGAGATGTTTAAATGCCCATTCAGTCATAGATAATTTCTTTCATTCCGCCCATGATTTAATAGTAGATAGGTTGTGCTGCGCAAAGACTTGATATACAGAGGGTCTCCAAAAGTCATACTTTTTTTTACGAATTTTAATCAAATTTTTATTAAGCAAACAAATGATCTACAAATAATAAATATTGTTCCTAGAATAATAAATTAAATTTCGTACTAAGCTGTTTATTATTTGATCGGGCCACCATTTTTATCTAAACTTATCGCAAACATCGCAAACGTCATAAACCTATCAACCTCGCAAACCTCGCAAACATCGTAAACCGCGTACAATTTGTTTATGCACTCATAATTTGAGACGACTGTGTGAATTTTCCCACACTAATTAAAAAAAAATAAATTAACCAAAAAAAAATTTTTTAACCTTACCTTAAAAAAATGGGTAAAGGAAAAGAGCTTACAGAGTCCCAAAAAGGCGCTATTCTTTATGGACATCGACTTGGCCATTCATGCAGAAAAATTGCAGTAACTGTAGAATGTGGACCCTCTGCAGTTTCAACTTGTATAAGAAGGTATAAAGCCACTGGGTCTACTGATATAAAGTCACGTTCTGGGCGACCGCGTCTTTTCACAACTCCAAATCGTAACCAACTTAAACAATTGGTTACGAAAAAAAACAATCACCGCAAATGTACCCGTGAAGTGCAAGCCCTTTGGAAAAAGAATTCAGGGCAGGATGCTTCTACCCCTACCATCCGTCGAACACTTCATATTGCTGGATTAAACAATTGTGCAGCTCAGCGAAAACCATTCATTTCACCTGAAAACATGGTGAAAAGACTTGCATGAGCACAAGAGCATGCACATTGGACTGTGCAAGACTGGGAAAAGGTTCTTTGGAGTGACGAATCAACCTTTTCCCAGTTTCCGCAATCACGTATCAGCCGGGTATGACGAGAACCATCTGAGGAATGGTTACCTGCTTGTGTTTCAACGACAGTGAAACACAGTCAAGTTCGGATGTTCTGGGGATGCTTTTCTGCACAAGGATTAGGGCCAATTATCCCTTTAGTTGGTTCTATAACTGGTTCAGTGCATATTGAAACTTTGCGCAAGCATGTTTCCCTGCCATGAAGCGTTTTTTTTTCAAATGGAATGGTGTTTTTCAGGAGGATAATGCTCCTTGTCACCAAAGCAAAATTGCTGCGGAATTTCGTGCAAAAAAAATATCTGAACCCTTAAATGGCCTGCGCAAAGCCCGGATCTTAACCCGATCGAAAATTTATGGAATGAAATTAAAAAAAACCTTCGAAGCCAAAAAGTAAAGCCCACTAACCTTTCCTCACTTGAACGACAAGTACGAAAGGCTTGGAAATCAATTACCTCCGAAAAAATCGAAAATTTAGTCGAAAGTATGCCTCGACGAATTCAGGCGGTAATTGATGCAAATGGTGGTCTGACCAAGTATTAAACCCTTAATAGCATTCGTATTTTAATAGTCCAGGAACATTATTTATTATTTGTAAATTGCTTAATTGCTTAATAAAATTTTGAGAAAATTCGTATGAAAAAAGTGTGCGTAAACTTTTGGAGACCCTCTGTACAGCACTTTTGATTTTTTCAGTGAGTTATCCACGGGCATGACGATATTGATCTGCAAACTGCATTATTAAATTTATATTTAGTAGATAACGTTTAAATAAAAACAATATTAAAAAATGACTGGGTTTGAATATAATGTATTAGAAAAAAATATATTCAATAAAAATTTTTTTTTCGAAATTTTATAAAAAAAATATATATATGTTAATTACCGGTTAATTAACCAAATAATAAATAACCGTTATTTTACCATCCTGTTATATTACTGCGCCCAGATATGCGTATCCATATTTTTCATTTTTTTGTATCATCTTTACGCTCGATTATCACGAGTATAATAATATTATATTCAACGTTAGTCGCCTTTTATCAACCACTTACTTTATATTTAAGCATGTCTAACTTTAATGACATAATGATTATTTTTTGTCTTGTTCTAGGTGATAGCCCAAAAAGCATTTCTCGATCGATATCGACCCATCTTGCAAAACCTTTGTTGGAGGAAAGGGATTACATTTTGACAAACTTAACTTTGGACATTTCCAGAAATTAGTACACTCAGAGATCAAGTACACTTCCAGAGCCAGCGACCTGGAGCTATGGAAGGTTTTTATCCCTACTGAAGGAGAAGACGAAAAGCTAAAAATACTACAGGATTACGCAGAAAATAATTCTCACGCAGAATTTGAGATTGAAAAACAACTTGAAGGTGTGAAGTTGTCACCATCTAAAAAAATCAGAGAAATTTTTGATAAAGGTCCAGAAGACGATCACATTCATATAATAATAAAGAGACCTGGTAAAGTATTATTATTGGTTTGTTAAAACACGCTTTATTCGAAAAATTATCGCAGGTATGTTTTATATATACTTTTTTGATATGTTAGCTAACTTGGATTTTCTCTTTCTTCCTTCTTTTGTTTATCACTTTCAGCTGAAGGAACTCCTTTGAAAAGAGCACGTACAGAAGAGAAAGGTAAAAATTCGCAGAATAAAGAAGGTATATACTCTCAGAGTATTCTCCGTAACTTGCGAAATCATTCTAATCAATTATTTCTTCTAGAACCACCATGGTCACCCTCACCGAAAAAACAAAAGATCAAGACGCGTGTGTGCACTCCTTGCTTTATTTCCCTTTATTCTTTTTTCAATCTTTTTCGATTTTGTTAGATGGTACAGCTACTATCTTCGCAGGAAAAGGAAGTCCCATTAGCCTTGATAATTTTAGTGAGATTTTGAATCGAGGATACACTATAATCGACAAGACACTCTTAATCGCCGAATTTATTGATTGCGTTGCAATAGTTTCTCTCATCGTTCGACTAAGACGATTTGGAAAAACAATTAATCTCACGATGCTTAGAGATCTTTTTCGATTCCCATCTACCTTGATAATGAGAATTACCATCGCGAACTTTTTAAAGACACAAGAATTATGGAGAGATCGGATCTTTTTGATAAACATTTTTGCAAGTATCCAGTAATCTTTCTCTCTCTCAAGGTATGTTGTTGTTTACGCCTAGACTGCTACTGTGAACTGTTTTGTTGATCAGTTTATTTTTTTTACATTTCCTTTGCCAGGGTTTTGATGGTTGTGAAACTTGGTCGGAAATGCAGGCCCAACTATGTCAGCAGTTGGCAACACTTTATGAAGAACACAAATATGTTTATGAAAAACTTAGCTATAGCCTGCTAAATGCATCACGCTTTGATCAAATATATTCTGGTATTCTAAAAGATGGCATCACTAAAAACGCTCTTTTCTACCTCTCCAAGTACTTGAATGACTATCACAGGAGCAAGTGTATTGTACTGATTGATGAGTACGACCATCCTATTGACGTTGCTTACCGATATAAATATTACGAAGAAGCTCGTGGGCTTTTAGCTACTCTATTTGGAGCGTTACTCAAGGTAAGCTCTTATTTTAGGCTGTCTTCATAGATTCGAGCAAATAATGACCTAACAAATGATTGGATTGACTAATGCAGGGCAATGACGAAAATTTGGAAAAAGCGCTTCTTGTCGGTGTGTTCCGCATTTCTAAGTCAGGATATCTGTCAAGGCTTAACAACATGCAAGTGTTCCCAATGCACAACCAAGAATATGCTGACAAATTCGGTTTCACTGAAGAAGAGGTTTTCATCATTCTTCAACATTACAATAAGTCCCAAGTGGAAAAGATCAAAGATTAGTATGATAGTTATATGGCCTCGAATGGGAGAATTCATCTATACAATCCTTGGTCGATCAATAAATTTATTAGTACGAATAATTTGGAGGCGCACTGGGTAGATACAGGTAAGGTTTGTTCCTGTTAGAATTCACTATTATATAACAGACCCCTAATTATTTTTATAATATGGTTTCTTGGAACGTAACAGGAGGCACCACAACCATCAAGAAATTACTTTGGCACTCAACTGAAGACTTTAGAAAAAAGACATTAACGTTACTTCAAAAAGGTGCGATCAATGTAGAGATTTTGAAAGACATTGATTACTTAACACTATCTCCTCATGCAAGTGATGTATTATGGACTTTACTCTACTATGGAGGCTATCTTACTATGAACAAAGAAAAAAAACTATGCATCCCAAACACGGAAGTTTTCACAGAATGGAAAGGATGGTTAAATAATAGAATTTCATCGAATCCAGATACAATGCTGGAGATGCTTTTGCAATGCCATCTCACGAAATTAGACGAGGAACTTCCAACGATAATAATGGAATCTCTTTCATATTTTGATACTACAGATAACTTAGCGGAAAGTAATTATCATTGGCTTATGGTTGGCATACTTTCACCGGTGCGATATCATAATTTTGAAATTTTTGTCAAATAGAGAGGCTGGTGTAGGACGCTTTGATGTTAGGATTTTACCAAATACAGAAAATGTAGATTATCCGGTATCGATAATTATGGAATTCAAGGTATGCAAGAAGAATAAAAAGAATAAAGACAGTGATGAATATGAATATGTTGATGAATCCAGTGATGAAGAAATCAAATATGGAATTGAAGATGAAATAGAGCGTGAACTTCGGAAGAAATCTGAAGAGGTAATAGCACAGATAATAGAGAAAAGATACCGCACTGGTATAAGAACTACGAAATTGGTTGAGTGCGGAATTGCTTTTAAGGGAAATCGTGCATATGTATTGAGTAGAGTTCTTCGTAAGGAGAGAGATCAGTGGGCAGAGGACGAAAAATAATCATTATTTTAACGATCATTCTGTACGAATGTAAAATAATATAAAATTTTTTTATTACACGAACATTATATAATAAAAATAATGTCTATACCTTGCATATTGTCATATTTATTATGCTATTGAAAGTTTACATGCACTGGAAAACAAAGTTATCATAAGTTTGCCCATATCCCATATTTCCGTCTTCCAAATTTTTAAATATGTATACGGTGTATTATCTGATTACCAATTTCCGAGGACCTTACTAACGCAAACAACAATAAATTTTTCAGCGGGATTTTACTGCATTTCTCGAATAGTATAACACATGTTCTAGAATATCAATGATAGGGAGAGCTATTATTAGGATCATGTGTTAGTATATATAGGCAAACGAAAATCTTCTGAAGACATCGGAAAAATAAAAAATGGTTATATGCCGGCATAATAGCGTTTTGCCCTATTGCACGGATGTCAATGTGTATTAACTACAGATCTAAATTTTTTCTTGAAACCGTTCCCTCGGGGAACGATCATAATTACACAAAATTTTCCGTTCATGACATTTTGTCACGTTTACCCCCATCTTCTTACCAGCATAAGCAGTTCGATATCGGGAAAATTCTTACGAAAGGATAAAAAAAAAACTATATTAAAGAATGATTGGGTAGTCAGGTGCCATTAGCAGTTGTATCGAAAATAAAAAATTTTTAACACTATCAAGCGTCGGACATGTCGCACGCAGATCGATTTAACATTTCAAAAATTTAGGCATTTTTATTCATTTTAAAAATTTCAAAATTAAACATTTTATGTTATTATCTAAAAGGAATTGATGAATTGTATATATAAATTATTTAACTATTTGGTAAAAAAAAAAATAAAATAAAATAAAATATCTGCAATTAGTTTTAATTATGTTCTAGATATTAGAAATAAAGATCTCTAGTTTTCTTGATTTGTCCGTGTATTAAAGAATAAGCTTAAACTTATTTCAAAAAATTATTTGTTGTTCTTTCTAGTTTTATTTAACTCCCCCTTAAAAAAATAAGATGATATCCGATTGAATTATAAATATAACAAATAGATAATGAAAATTACAATTGTAAATCATTTACAAAACAAATAATTCTAACCGGCTGGATGTCGCGACTTGTCATCCCTCGTATATGGCACAACTTCCTCCACAGAAAGCTCTTACGTTCTTGTGTACGATAATTATTAAAGTTCTGCTTGTCTGAACGAACGAACGTAACGTGAACATATATTCTAGCCTTCAATACTGATCTTTGTGGTTCGCATGCTTGTTAGGGACTTAGGAGACATCAAGTCACAATAAGATTTTCATTTTTGCATGAGGAAAGGAAAAGCAAACTCAACATTTGAAAAAGAAATAAATTTCTAATTATAAGGATATTGATAAGATAATTTTATCCAATAATTACATATTCTTTACTTGCGACTCCTGAAATCTCGTTTCTAAATCGTAGTAATAACAAACAATAATTTATAATAAGATATAACTACCAAATGATATATAAAGGAGTTTTCAATATAACGGACTTTACTTGAGTAAATGGAAGAATACATGAAAAGCACAGAATATTACAGGTTTATCCTCTCCTTGGTTTTAAATAAATTATTTCGTGAGCACTATTTTCTCTTATTTCTATATGTTGTCCATTTTCAACTCGATTTAATCGTTCAGTAAGTTCTCGGATTTGAGCTTGAAGTTCTGTCGAATTGCTTGATTCAATATTTACTTCATCAGCTACTTCAGCAGGTTCTACATCAGCGTTATCCCTATTATTCATGAATTTCTTAAATGGTCTTAACCAACAACTGCTAATATCTTGATCTACTTCGGAATCTTGTTCTGGTATGTCAGCAACAATTAATCTTCTAGCTGTTATTGGACAGGTTAAAAGAACCAAAATAGAACCAAAAAATACGAAAGCGATACCTGGCGCAAATGCGACATCATAATTACTATTACTATAACCGGCACAAAAATCATGACAATAAGAATGAGTGCAAGTCTCGCAAGCGTTAAAACAAATGGAATAACAGGGGTATGGTTTAGAGGTATTATAAAAGGTAAGAAAGCAAGCCCCAGCAATTAAAAGAATAAACCCAAATAACATAATAAAAAACCATTTAAGTTTTTGCATAATCATTTTACAAAAAAAAAAAAAAATAAATAAAATATAAAAAAAAAAATGATTATTTGGGTTTAAGGTATTAGTATATAAATAAATTTTTTATTTGGTGGCATAGTTTAAATAAAGTTGCATAATGAGTCGTGTCACGCCTAAGATTATAAATAAACGTTTTTTGTGATACCGGTATTTTTTGTAACGTATGCTTTTGGAAGTTTTTCATACTATTTATATATTTATTATTAAATAAACAATATTCTCGTGTTACAATCTAAAATAAGATTCATTCATGATCTAATTATGTGAAAGGTCATATTTATGACGTAAAAGAATAAATTAAGATGGGCAACTATTAATTTTCAAATTATTTGAGGTGTATAAAAATGATTCTTAAATAAAGCGCAATGAATTAAATTAAATATATCATTATACATTTTTTTAAAAAATTGTCGCTTATAAATTTTCCGCGCCTCACATTATTGAATAAGCTCATACATTTACTTAAATATTTAACTATTTCGGACATTCGGAAATAAGAGTAAAGGTAAAAAGGCGTTGGTAAGCTTAAAAATTAATTTTGACAATTAGACTAGCGAAAAATTGTTAAAAAGAAACAAATACTGCAAATAAATAATAATAAATATATTTTTTTCAATAATTCATTTTTACGAAAATAAAAAAAATTTATAAAATTATTCTCTCATTTTTTGTAAATTGGATAATTAGTAAAAAAGAAAAAAAATAGATAGCAGAACTTGTCCATCTAGCAATAGGTAACAAATGAAAAGTAAAATTAAAAAATCACTCAGGATTTATCTTTTAAAGCCGAATTAAGTCTATTTTTTACAAAATATTAATTAAAAAAAATATTTAAAAATTTAAGAATACCTATGTACGGAGATTTTAAGCAACGCATACAAACTGAACTTTTTATCTTAATATATTTTTGTGTTGAAAATTCGAATTATTGAAATCATAATATAAATAAGATATCAACTGATAAATTTATTTGCTCATTTCACTTCCACTGGATGCTTAATTATTTATTATAATCTTTATAATAATATTATGATGAATATTTTATGTTCAAAATTTTATTATCAATAATAGAGTTGAATTAGAGCTGATTAAAATATTAATCATAAATAAAACATTATTGAATTATTCATTGAAAGATTTATGAGATTATAATATATTATTTACTTAAATATTTAAAGATTTATCTTTTTATAAAAAAAAATTAATATTTAACATATTTATTGTCGTATATTGAAAATTGATCGAACTTCACGTGATATATAACCAATCCAAAATGCAAAGTTTAAAAAATTTAAAAATCTTGCGTTCCTATTTGTTCTCTATATTTTTATATAAAATAATCAAAGCTAATAAAAACGGTAAACTTCATTATTAATTAATTATAGTATACTTATTTATTTACATTTATTTAAATTTTTTTTAAAAATTATAACAAAATTAAAAAAAGGATCTTTTTGTTTAAATTTTCTAATATACTTAATTCTAATGTAAATTTTAAGAATAAAATATTTTAACTTGTTTTTACATTATATCCTTGTTAGTGATAAGAATTGTTTCCAAAATCAAAATCGTAAGTCAAATCGGCAAAATCGATTTTTAAACAATTAATCAACTGCTAAAAATGATTTTTGATTCCAGTTTTGAAAATCAAAAAATGGCAAAGTAATATTAGTTTTTAATTTTTTTAAGTTATAAATTTGATAAAATTTAATATAATTAAACTTAAGCCTAAATTTTATTATAATCTTTATTTAATAGAAAATAAGCTAAATATTAACAAATTAATCAAATATTTCAATATATTTTTGATTTTACAAAATGAGGGCTAAGTATTTTTAATTAAATTTTCTATATCTAAAAAAAGGCCTTCTGATGATTACTGAAGTTGCTGGAATAGATAAATATATTTATGCAAGTTTTGTTAATCGCAGATAATAAATTTTATTAATTTACTATCATTCAAATGAATCATACAATTCAAATGCAAATAGAGTTTTTTTATTAAAATTTTGTAAATGCATCTTTATCAAAAGTTATAATTTACTAATTCTATTTTACATATAGAATACTTATAATAATTATATCTAAAATTATTGGTTTTGAAAATTTTTCTAAAATGGAAAAAACTATGAAAAATTTCATATTTAACTAATAATTCTTTAATAAATTAATTCTTTAAAGTCTTAAATAAAAATAAATAAATTAATAGCATTACAAAATATTAATTTATTTTTTAAAAAAAAATATATACTTAATTAAAAAAATATAAAATTTTAAATTCTCAATCAAAAAATATTACATATATTTCTATATTTCCTTTTACTAATTATTTGCCTATGATACTACACATCAATATTTTACTGGATTTATTATTGGAGTTGAATATTCTGAAAAAATATCAATGTGTTATCATTACTAGGATATAGTTCCTAGTAAAAGGAATGACATTAAAAATATTGCTTATATTTCAGCTATAATGATTCATTTTCATAAATTAGACCATTATTTATATTATCAAATTAGACAATTTTATATTATTTAAAAGGTAAGTAAAAATAATAATTATTATCATTGTTTGTTTCTAACTCTTATTTATTAAAATAATGTCAAATCATCTTGAAATTTAGCGAAAAACTGTTAATTCACTTTGCCAACAAAATGTTTATAATTAAAAAAAAAATTCTTTATGCTTCTGTAAATAGTATATTAGTACATTACATAAAACTGAAAATATTTTTATAAATCATTCACCTGAATATTCAAGAAAATTGTCTTCCAAAAAATGCCACTATATTAGAAAAATTTGAAACATAACCATTTCACTATGACAGGCGAACTTAAAGCTAAATTAGAAGAAAATGATCCTAAATTCAAAGTTAGTAATTATATGGTATAATATGAGCTTAAAAATCTTATTATATCTCTATTTTTTTAAAAAAAGTGCTTTTCTTAACCTAAAGAACAAAGAATATTTACTTGTTATAGATACATGAATATTTGCATTATAACTAGAAGAAAGTTATTTTTTCTGATAAAATGATGCTTCAAATGTTTAACAATACTATTAAAGTATAGTCTGAAAATGCATAACCAGTTTACACTTATTTAAGATCTATATTTGAGGTGTAATTAATGTAAAAGGAAATGTTAGAGTGTGATTAGTGTAAAGGAAAATGTCAGAGTCAATCTGTTTACTGAAATTTAAATTATCATATATATCAAAATTTTTTGGATAATCATTTATAAAATAAGGGCAGTGACAGATATTACCATATATTAGTTAATTAGAAGGCCTTACTCCCCCTCCCCCAGGTAAGAAATACTGCGGAGTCACGTGATATGATTTTATATATCTGACGAAATTATTAGATATTCGATGAAATAAAAGTAATGATTAAAAAAAATTGATAGAATTTATTATAATTTATATAGTGATAAATAAAAAAAAAGGTTGTATAGTCTTAATAGTTTATTATAGTTTATATGGTGATAAAAAAAATGATATATTTTATAGTCCAAAATCTAACACTTAAATTTGAAAGAAATTCATTTATTAAAAAAAAAATAATATCAAAAAATTTGGGATGATCCTTTCTAAAAACTAGCTGTGGGTTTTATTTAACACTCGCGAAATTTCAACATGTTTATTTCATATTTGACATTTTACGCAAAAAGTCTTCCTTCATTAACACATTGATATTTTGTCCTTAATTTTAAAAATGAATTACCAAACATTTTTTTTAGTCCCAAATTTAATAAAAACCAATATATGATTCACCAACTAATAAATATCAAGTGTTCACAAATGCCTATGTGTATAGTGTTATAGTAAAAACGAGTAATTATAATCCCGATCGTACTGCTGTTTGTCAAAAAGCCATAAATGAGTGGAATAATATTAAGAAAAAGAGTGTCGATAATATTGATAATAAAATTCGGGACTATATGGCCACACCATTTAACTTGTACGATATACAATCAATGAGATACAAACGTTCTGTATCTAAAAAAAATCAAATCCTTCACCTTCCCCTTCCATTATTCATTCAGTAGACCCTTTAACACAAATTTCTGCTAATGCCTCATCTCAAAAAAGGGCAGCGGATGGAATCCAAATAGCTGAAAAAAAGATTTACGAATTCAAGCAAATTTACAATATTACCAGTGATGCTCAGATTCATAATGACATATACCAAAAAGTAGAAAATCTGAGAGATGAAATTAAATCTAACAAAGATAGAATTGCTAAGTTAAAAAAAAATGCTAAATATACCCAAAAATTGCAAAGAAAAAAAATTAAGACAACTTATCGAAAATCAAGAGGTTGTCCGCTACGATAAACTGGGAAAGCCACCATTTCTCTTTAAATATCCAGATTTACATGAACGTATACACGATTGTATGGAATTTGGATCTGCTAATGCAAAACGATGAAAGAGGCTGTTAAAGTTCAGATAATAGAAAATCTGTATAAAAATCTTGAAGAAAGATATGAAATTTACATGGCGAGAACTACATTAAATAATCACCTTTTACCTCGCCAATCAAACTCAATCACCGCTAAAGCACACCATCATCTGGCATGGGTCACAATTACCAGAGTTTCATGAACTGAAATACGCGAATATCCTGATAGCCATTAGTGCCTCGCGTCGGTAAAATGTGCAAAGCATTTCGCTAGCACTTTTGCTGATGTTTTGGTTGTCATCTCTCAAGATGACAAAGTAAAGATTGGACTTGGAGTATCTGTGGTAGGTTGCACATTTCGCACATTACAATCCATTAGCAAACCGATGACTGTAGCAGATCATGATTTTCCTATGGGATTTAGACAAAAATTAATCCCATCAGTGTATTTGATGATAAGTCCAAATGAATCTAATGATGAGCTGCGAACAGGAAAGTTAGTGATTTTTGTACGTCCCCAATGGTCTCTTGGCACATCTTCGCTTACGCATATGCAAGACTTGAAAAGCCTT